AAATATTGAAGTTTGGAGGCAAGTTTTTGCAATTCAGCGGTCCGGTACGATGCCTTAAAGAGTTTTCAAGTGCCAAAAAGTTATGTGGTCAGAGAAAAAAAAGAAAAGAATCTCTAGGCAAGGTCAAACTTGGCCAGTGGCTAGTGTGCAAATGATGAAACGGTTTTGCCTGGTCGGTAGAAGGCAATAAAGAGCAGGCGCGTACTATTAAAAATGGTAATAAAGCAGCAAGAGCAAATAGATTTGTGCAAACATGTGCTCAACACATAAACGAGAGAGAATTGACTTTCTGACTCGGTTGCACCCTGCAAGTTGAATACGCCGGTGGCAGACGACTGCAACTCTAATGAACACAGAGAGAACACTAATCGGCCGCTTTGATCAATTGCCATGATCTTGCAGAAAAGAATGATGAGCAAAAAAACGGCTGGAGATGTAAATGTAAAAACAACTTTCCAAGCAAGTGAAAACCGTTTCGCTCAAGTTTGGGCGTAGATAAAGCTCACTGTGTGAGCAAAGCATAGTGCCCGTTAATGTGACAGTGGCGGTGCTGGCTACAAGAAGTCTGCCAGGGCTATCACAATCTTTGATACGAAGTTGTTGTTGCCATTGCCAAACTGAATGAAAGCAAAATATCGGTCATAAAACATCAAAAGCTACGCTCATTTCAAGTCAATAACAGCAAGCAGTAGTAGGGAGACACTCGATGACACGAGCAAGTGTTCCAGTCAAATGAGGTACTGCATAATCAGTGAAAAGAATTATCGGTGATTGTTGTTGTCAACAATTATTCTCCCTACCTTGAACAGGTTAGCAGGCAAAACTGTTAGTCGAGCACGAATGAGTTGATGGAAAGAGGCTTGCAGATAAATCAAAGTTAGCTTTTTATAATTGAAAGTTGAGCTTCGTTGTCGATGCAGATTCTGTTCTGGTTAGCGCTGGCAACAGAGACAGACAGATGTCAACTTTAGCTGGCAAGTGCTGCCAAGCAAACAGACTTGNAATGCAGATGACTGTTCTGGTTAGCGCTGGCGACAGAGACAGACAGATGTCAACTTTAGCTGGCAAGTGCTGCCAAGCAAACAGACTTGTTTGGTTTATTGCTTGGTTGCGATTAAAAAGCCAGCAATAGCGGAAGGATGTGGGTTTGTGTGTGTGTCGGTCATTCGATAAAGTGCTACAGCAGCAGCAGTAGTAGTAGTAGCACTGCAACTGGTAATTAAATAGTGAGGAACACCAAACACCAAACAGAGAACAGTCAATCAGTGACTACATCACAACGAGCTATGTGGCACCACGGAATACAGCGAGTTTGCCAAGGGGCTGTCACATGAAAAACGTTTCAAGTATATTCGCTAATAAAATGACGATGCACTTAAACTAGTGTACAGAGAGAATTCTCTACCAAATCAGCAATCAGACCTTAAAAGGGAACGTCAACTCAATGGCACCAGTTGATGCATTTCATTGACAGGCAGTTGAATTAGAATGTTTTCATTAGCAACTGGGTTATATAGTTTATGACAAAGTTTTAAGTGTGTTTTAATTATCCAGTTGCCTTTCTGAACACTGAAAAAACTAGTTATTAAGTGTGCACAAAATAATTTTTAGCATAGAAAAATAGCTTTACTTTGTAAAAAATCTAGAATGTGTCCAATATTAGAAGAACAAAATTAAAAGTAAAGTTTTAACAAAAAAATGCTAAAAGTTTCTGGTTCCCAATTAATTGGCAGTGTTTCCAGTTTGTGCTTTAGAAAATTATTTGACACAACAGAAAGTATTGTCAAATTTGTTACAGTTAAAAAAGGTTTTATTTTTTTNTCTAGAATGTGTCCAATATTAGAAGAACAAAATTAAAAATAAAGTTTTAACAAAAAAATGCTAAAAGTTTCTGGTGCCCAATTAATTGGCAGTGTTTCCAGTTTGTGCTTTAGAAAATTATTTGACACAACAGAAAGTATTGTCAAATTTGTTACAGTTAAAAAAGGTTTTATTTTTTTTTGAAAATATAAAAAATAGTATTGAGGCAATATTTGTGACAGAAGAGGGCAGCGGTAATGATCACAGTTTAATATTTTGGTGAAGGACTGGTGACTCATTTATAAGATTGCCTTTTACTGTAAAAAGTTGTGTAAAACTGTGCTTTTTCTGATAAACAGTGTTTAGGAAGTACAGGGGAAACACTGATTGTATCACTAAGAAGGTTACTGTTTTAGCCATTGTAAACACAAAATCATAGTCTAGTTTTACCTTATATGAAGCCNGAAAATATAAAAAATAGTATTGAGGCAATATTTGTGACAGAAGAGGGCAGTGGTAATGATCACAACTTAATATTTTGGTGAAGGACTGGTGACTCATTTATAAGATTGCCTTTTACTGTAAAAAGTTGTGTAAAACTGTGCTCTTTCTGATAAACAGTGTTTAGGAAGTACAGGGGAAACACTGATTGTATCACTAAGAATGTTACTGTTGTAGCCATTGTAAACACAAAATCATAGTCTAGTTTTACCTTATATGAAGCCACTCTGATAGAAAGTATCACACTAAACTCAATTTAAAATGTTAAAGAAAGAATGTTAACAAAATTCATCATGAGTGTTTTTAAATGAGATAACTTTTTGCAAAAACGAGTCAAAATAACGTTATTTGACTGATTATAGTCACAGTTGGCTAATTAATTGAGCAAAGAAAGAAACAAATTTGCATCGTGGAAGTCAATTAGAAGTAAATCAAATGCTAGTTGACAAAAATCCCGTCTTCGTACAGGCACAAACAACCTGTGTCAGCAAGCAAACATTCCTCAGTGAGTGGTGCCACTGACCGGTGCCAATTAGCATTTGTGTGTTTTGCCAAAAGTAGCCTAGCGGCTCTGTTTGCCAAAACCATGCCAACATTGTTGTTAACTAGTGCGCTAACTTCTAAACAAAATGAAAAATTGTTGCTCTTGCTAGTGACAAAATTTGCTTATTTGTACAAAAATTTAAGCAAATTCAAATTTGTCATTCAAATGAACACAAAGCAATGTGGGTTTTTGGTTTGGTTGTAGTAGACTGCTTTGCCACCCGACCATGAGAATTGGGAAGTGCTTTGATTGACAGCCTGAATGAGCACAGTCGATTACTGGGACAGTTGATTGATTGAGAAAGCATATCGCAACGCCGTACTGAAGCATCCACAGAAAGTGCAGCACTGCTTTGCAGCAGTAAAAATGTCAAGAATGTGTTTTAAGGCACAGTTTGATGTTCACTTTTACTAAAGCACTTTTTGTGTTGCGTGAAGCACTTGAGAATGCTGTTTTGCTCGCCCGGCATTGAATGAATTGTCCTATACAGAGGCGTCAATACTGAGCAATGCATTGGGCAGGTGAGAGCATTAAGGAAGCTTATCACAGCTTATCAGTAGTGTGCAACTTGAGCCCATCGGTAAGCTTTGTTCTCAACAGGCAAATTAAGTATCAATTAGAAAAGATAAATCAATCCGTTTAAATCCCTCAAACCTCTTAGATCTCGTTGGTCTAGCAAACGGTGGAGAGCCAGAATTATCGGCAGTAAAGGTGGCGTCGGCGACTTGTGAGTTGTCAGTTGCAGCAGTGAAGATTAGTAAGTGTTACTCTAGCTGTGCGACACTGCAAGTGGCCATCAATGGCTATAGACTTTCTATTGGTGGCATTTTATCGTAAAGAAAATCAAAATCCGCAGTCAAACGGCCTACATGCGTTAGCGCACAGTAAATCCTTGGTTTTGACTTTTCTATTAGCCACAACAGGTTAAGTTGAGCCGGCAAAGTTGTGTCTTCTGCCAATTAATTACCAATTAATGTTTTTCTGTTAATGAAATGTGCTAAATTTCAACAAACTATATATTGTGCCATGTGCTTCTGATCAACTTGATAATGGATAAGTGGAAACCAATACCAAAGTCATTTCCGGATCAACGACCGGGCCATGGAGCAGCCGACCTCAACGGGTACTTCGATACCCGAGACACTGAGGTAACCTCCAGTGATAGACCTCTACAACGTGAAGAGTCATTTGCTGAATCGACACATTCTGACTCTGAGCCGCAGTACAAGTTCAGCAAACTCAGAAAAGCTCGAGATTCAATATTCGTCGCTCGCGCTCACATCGGCAATGACAGTGATGAAGAGGACGAAGAAACAACGACAGAACGACACCCTCAAGTACTGATAGAAGAGGATATTGTCGTACGCCGACCAACATCTAATTTGAGCAATAAGACGAGCGAGAACGCCCGAAAAAGTCGGGCTTCTGTGCGCTTTTCCGACTTACCTGAGGAAGGAGCGGGCGGTGTTGCTGGTAGAGGCGGAGGAGATAAACCTCAAACACAGGTTAAAAGAACAGAGGGGTTTTCAAACCCAAGTTTTGTTGATGACCACGGAAACGAGTCGGAAGATTACAGTGAAATGCTTCAAAATAACGGCACAGCAGAATGGCAATCAAACCTTGAAACAAATGAATTTTGGGCCCGTGACAGTTCAAGCGACGATGATGATGAGTAAGTATTCGTACTTGAGGGGTGAACCAGCTTGACACGTTTCCGATGGTCAGATGACGCAAATGAGGTCATTTAGCGGTGATCACCTCTTTTGCCAGTGACCACTTTTGTGTGTGTGTGTGAGTGAGTGTTGCGACGCGCGCGCAAATGAAAGTCGAGTAGAGAGCAGAGAGAGAGAGAGAGAGAGAGAGAGAGAGAGAGAGAGAGTTCAACTGAACTGACTCACTTCAAATATGTTTCACTGTAAAGGCACTTAGACTAGCGTTCAGAGGAAAAAGGAACCCAAAGAAGTGGCAGTGCTAGTCCCAGTATCCACAGCTGTTGCTTGCATTCTCAGCTGCTGTTTCTGCTGCCTTTTTCAGTGGTCACTGGCAGTGCGTGGCCACTGACATAACTGCCCTCCTTAGAAGACGATTGTCATAGGCTGACTTTGAATGAAAGCGAACAGACGACTGGACTGGACTGGACGGCGGGGGAAGGTGCCAGTCCAGTCGACAAAACTGGATTGTACGAACAGGTGGTCATTGCGCAATCCGCNTGGAACCCAAAGAAGTGGCAGTGCTAGTCCAAGTATCCACAGCTGTTGCTTGTTTTCTCAGTTGCTGCTTCTGCTGCCTTTTTCAGTGGTCACTGGCAGTGCGTGGCCACTGACATAACTGCCCTCCTTAGAAGACGATTGTCATAGGCTGACTTTGAATGAAAGCGAACAGACGACTGGACTGGACTGGACGGCGGGGGAAGGTGCCAGTCCAGTCGACAAAACTGGATTGTACGAACAGGTGGTCATTGCGCAATCCGCTTTTCTCCGTCTTCCGACTCGTAATTAGGCAGTTCGAGGGAGTTGCAGTGAAACATAATGATGATGAGCATGATTTTCAACCTGTCGCACAATGCAGGAGCGCCCTCGACTACAGCAAGCCCGCCTGGGATTCATTCGAGTCAATACCAACTGAAGACGCAGACGAGACGCTCAGTTCTGAGTGGTCCAAGTTTTTTCTAAAGCTCTTTAAGCTGATCTCCTATGGCATTACCTTTGCGCTTGTCCTTGGCTCTGGAGTGGTGGCCAAGCTGTCCCTGTCACTGATTGCCAGCATGACTCGGGTCAATAAAACAGTAGTCAACTGCAACCCCAATTTGCCCGACATTTTAGATCACGACAAGCACTACCACAGCTTACTAGGCCTTAATTCACCCGAACGCTTTGCCTGGCTTTGGGTGCTTTTTGCGGTGCTCATCACGCCTGATGTGTTCACTTTTCTTCGAAGTCTCAAGAGTTGCCTCTTTAAGCAGTACGAAATGCCAGACATTTGGAGCATTCTTGTGGTAGGGTCAGCTTACCTAAGTTACCAATAACCTGCTAACAAAAGTGCTATCTTTTATCATAAAGATTTTCGGTACCCATAGCGCAGAGGTAGTAGGAGTGTCATTATTTGCATTCGTCATTTTGCCGTCCATTGATGTCATCACCGGTCTCATCTTTACAAACTGCATCTTTCTTCTGCCCGCATACTGTCTATTTATGTCCCGGTACCGAAGACAGCCTAGCAAGAGACAGCAGCAGTCCCCCGAAGTGGAGAGCGGCGTCGACAAGTCGCCTGATGGCAATTTCCTGTACTACTTCTACTTGACAGCATTAGTCCTGCAGGTGGTGGCACTATTAGCTTGGCCGGTTGTTCTCTTCTTGCATAATAGGTACAACGTTGATCCACAACACGGCGTAGTCGTCAACAGAGACGTCGTCGACTGGTTGTGGATCATTCCGCTATCTGGTGCGCTCATCTCGCTTGGATTTTGGGAGAACTTTACAACTGAAAATAGCAATGTCAAGTTTTTGCGAAGGCTTGGCAAAATCAAATCACTTTCAGTGGTAAACAAGAATGCCGTCTACCTGTATGTGTCCATTTGGAAATGCATTCTCTACTTTGCAATGTTGCTTCTCATTCAAGCCTTTGCTGCACTATATCATGAGAAAAACATCAAATCTTCTTGGAAAACGATAGAACTTTTGTTTACCAGCTTTACAAAAGCCTTTAATTGGCACGAAATTGATCTAGAACGTGAAAACTCTTTAGTAAACAGTAAGCAATGAGTGAGAGCGTCAAATCCAGTTGTGATCATTACTTACGTTTTTTGCAGAAGTACTGCACACAACAGTCAATGGCTGGCCCCCAGTAATACTTGGTTTAATTCAAATTGGCTCTTCTTTTCTCTGCTACAACACTGTGCTCTGGGTGTGCAAAGTTTGCATTCAACCATTCAGCTTTGCAATACCCATCAACTTGATACTACCCGTATCGGTTTCGCTGATGAACTTTTTTGTCAACCAGTATTCAAAAGATGTTTGCTTCTTTTCCAATATTTACAATCCATTTGAGTACATCTTCTGGAACGCACACTACAACGTGTTTGACTTGACCAAGTTCTTTAACTGGGCCATACTTTTTCTGTGGCTCATCTCTTTCCTTTCACAAGTGATTATAAACAACCACGTTTGGATTTCCTCCAAAGAACGACTGGCAGCAATTGACAAACTCTTCATTTTGCCCTTTTTTAGTTCAGCCGTTCTTGAACAGTCAATCATGTAGGTTTCCATATATTTTTTTTAAAAACTTATCTTAATTTTTTTGTTTAGGATGAACCGTCGAATAGATGAGGAGCTATTTGAGCGTAATTTTAACAATGAAACGCATTCAGACCCAAGTGAAATTGATGAAAATAACAACAGTTTACACTCAATTACATCGGGAATTGGAATGGGAAACACTGGTGAAAAAATTAGAATTTACGCCTGCGCGACTGTTTGGCACGAAACTGGTTTGCTAAATTGTTTGATTATACATTTTCAGCGTTTTAAATTATTGCCTTTTTACAGCCGACGAACTAGTGCAAATGCTTAAGTCAATCATGAGAGTGGATGAAGACCAAGCATCTCGACGCTTAGCAGTAAAGTGGCTCAAAGTGCAAGAGCATCAAGTGGACTACTATGAATTTGAAAGTAAGTAACACCAGTGAAAAAAAACATTTTAAATGTGCAAATTACCTTTATTAGCACATCTTTTTGTTGACGACGCATTTGTTTTTGGCAAAACACTCACTGAAAACGATCGACACATTAACGAGTATGTGAAGATTCTCATTGACGTGCTGAACGAAGCGGCGGAGAATGTTCACCAGAGGCCGGTTCGAATTAGACCCCCGAGAATTTACGTGACGCCCTACGGTGGCCGCGTTGAGTGGCGTTTACCTGGAGGCACCAAACTAATTGCTCATCTTAAGGACAAACTCAAGATTCGACATCGAAAACGGTGGTCGCAGGTGATGTACATGTACTACCTGCTGGGTTTCAAAATCTACGAAAAAGAACATGACGAACAAAAACGACAAAAGATGACTGACAAAACATTTATTCTTGCTCTCGATGGCGATATCAATTTTCGCCCCGAAGCAGTTTTGCTTTTAGTTGATCTAATGAAAAAGAACAAAACTTTAGGGGCTGCTTGTGGAAGAGTGCATCCTGTGGGCACAGGTATTTTCTAAACTGTTTTTTTAAAACAACCGATTTTTTGCTAAACTAGCCAATGCTTTCTTCTTTTTAGGTCCCATGGCTTGGTATCAAGTTTTTGAGTACGCCATTTCCCATTGGCTGCAAAAGGCAACTGAACACGTGTTTGGTTGCGTCCTATGCAGTCCCGGTTGTTTTTCACTGTTTCGAGCTTCGGCTCTCGTTGACATCAACGTGATGCAAAAGTACACAACTAAACCAACAGAAGTAAGGTTTACTTTTTTTTGTATAAGTTATCGTTGCAACGTGTACATTTTTCACCTTTACTTTAGGCACTGCATTACGTTCAGTATGATCAGGGTGAAGATCGATGGCTCTGTACTTTGATGCTCCAGCAAGGGTGGAGAGTGGAATACTCTGCTGCTTCCGATTCGTACACGCACTGCCCTGAAGGTTTTGGTGAATTCTACATTCAACGACGTCGTTGGGCGCCCTCAACTATGGCGAACATTATTGACTTGTTGAGAAGCTACAAACAAACTGTGAAGAAGAATGATAACAGTTGAGTTTTTCTAGCAAGCATCATTCTCTATCAATTGAATCTCATTTTTCCTTTTAGTAAGCTCTCTGTACATGCTCTACCAGGCGAGCATCATGCTTGGAACCATTCTCAGTCCTGGAACCATTTTTCTAATGCTTGTCGGTTCAGTCACCACTGCTTTTGGCCTGGCAACACAGCACAGCTTTTATTTAAATTTCTGCCCGGTATTAGGTTTGTTTGCACCACTTGATTAGCTTACATAAATGACTAGACAGTAACCGAACCGTCATATTTATTAGGTTTTGTGTTGGTTTGCTTCTTCTGCAAGACGGATATGCAAATTCTAGTAGCGCAAATACTTTCAGTCTTTTACGCAATGCTGATGCTTGCAGTTCTAACTAGCACAGCTATTGAAATTAAGAAAGAAACTATTTTTTCGCCTTCAGTGGTATATTTAATAATATTATTTTTGCATATTACTATATTACACAACCTTTTATTTGTAGGTCTTTTTTGTGGGAATGATTTTTGTTTTCGTTGTTGCAGCATTTATTCACCCAACAGAGTTCTTTTGCCTGTTTCCAGCTCCAGTATACCTGCTGACCATCCCTAGCATGTACCTTTTGCTAACGATTTACTCGATGATCAATTTAAACATCGTGACATGGGGTACTCGAGAGACAGCGCCAAGTCAGCAACCAACCCAGCCACAGGCACCGGCAGCGCAAACACAAAAGAAAGACTCTAATCTTTTTGACGAAATCGGCAACTACTTTAACGGAAAAAACAAATGGGATTTCAGATGCATGTGCTGCACTTCGACTAAAAATGAAGAGGAACTGTATTACCTTCGGGACATTAGGGAGTCAATTGGCAAAGTGAATACTGAAATAGGCAGCATCAAGAATAATGTCACCGCTCAGACAAAACTAGCCAAAGCTGATCTTAATTTAAAGAGGAGAAGTTCAATGATGTTTGCTTCTAGGAAGGTTACATTTGACGACAATGCAGAATCAAGACCTCTGATGGATTTTATTGTCGATGACGAAGAGATTGACGAGGCACTGAATGTTTTGGACAGTTCACTGGAAGAAGTTAACCACAAAGAAGATGAGCAGCCACCAGTGGCTCAGTTTTCTGCTCAAAACCCGCCTTGGATTAGAGATGAGGGCTTGGAAAATGCAAAAGTTGTTTCAATTAAAAAAAATGAACGTGATTTTTGGACTGCATTTGTGGCAAAATACCTGGCGCCTTTAATTGAAGACAAACATCATCAAGACAAAGTGGCGGCTGATTTAATTGATTTACGAAACAAAGCTGTTTTTGGGTTTGGTATCATTAACATCATTTTTGTGCTGTTTGTTTACCTACTTCAAATGAACAAAGACATTTTCAGCATCACCTTTCACGTTAATAGACACATCAATGGAACATCAATTGACCCAAACACTGGAGAAAGCAATATTGTGTACACTGACACTGCAATCAATATGGATCCAATCAGTTTGATTTTGATTATATTTTTTGGGTCTATTCTTTTCATTCAATTCATTGGCATGTTTATGCATCGTTTTGGTACCATAACTCACTTGTTAGCTTTCACCGACATTAGTTTTTTTGAAGTACGTGAAGAAGACATTCTTGATGACAAAATTGTGGACCAAAATTCAGTGCCTATTGTCAAATATATCATGAAAAAGTACGACAAAGACTTGGATGACGATCCTAACTTCAGCATGGAAAAGCACTTTCAAAAGTATTACCTGGGAATGAGGCCGCAGCACTTGGGTTTGTTGGACTGTTTGATTATATGGTTTCAGTGTTTAAAATATTATTTTGCTTTTCAGCTAAAGAAATGCGACTACCGCGACGCAAATCAATTGCTCATGAACTTGCAAATCGCCAGAAAACTGCTCGACGCATGTCATTGTCAGCTGACATGCATGCCCGCCATCTGCGTAACTTTCAGCAACATCAACGGCAAAGCTTCCACAATGGCTCAGAAACTGAATCTGAGCCAGAAATAATGACACAGTTTGGTAAGCTTGAAAAGACAATGACATGACATGTAATACACTGCTTATCTTTGCACAGAACTCAATTCTGATGTCGTCGATGGAAACAATTCTAGTTTAAAACTGCGTCAAGTGTCGACGAATTTTGCAGAAAACGTAATTCAAGATGCTCTAGAGTCATTCAATCATTTCAGCCCAAATCAGTTAGCGAATCAAAATGTAAATAATCAAAATGACCAACCGGCAACCCTAACCCCGAGCTCACAAGTAATTACTACTCAACTTTGATTTTTTAAATGTAGCAAACAAAACTTTACTAGAGCAGATTTTCAGTTGTGCTTGTCTTTTGTAAAATACAATTTAAAAACAATCAATTTAATGTATTGAACATACAATTTTTAAAAATAAATAGCACAAAATCAAATATTGAGTTTGTTAGTCAAACATTTGTAAAAAGATTATATTTTTTTCAATTTATTTATCGTCACGTAATGTCAAATAAAAATATTTAAAAACTGTTTCTATTTTCTCAAGAATTCTCAAGTGTTTTTGCTTTACAAGTGCTCTTAAAAAAAGTGCACATTTTAAAACTAAGGATTGATTTGTGGACAGTTGTTTATATGTCTAACAGTAATAAATTATGCAAATAATTGCTACTATTTACAGTTGCATTTGCTCAAATCTTGTCATCACATTTCCATCGGTTAACTTAACTCTTAAAGTTTCATATTTCTTTGGCATGCAAATGTGTAAGAAAATCTTAATTTTTCCTAGTAAAAGTCAATAATTTTTAAATTTTTTTAATAGATTAAAAAATACTTTAAGTTTTTATTATTTAGTTTAAAAGTCCAAAACAAAAGTATTCTGTTTGTTTGACCACACAAACACACTGACAGTGTTGTAAATTTTTTTTACAGAGTTTAATTAAAATGTTTAGAAATAAAAATACATATGGTTTAAAAATAAAAAGTTTATTAAATGCTCTAGACTTTATTTTTTATTACAAAATTTTCATGTTTGACAGAGTGGTTTTAAAAACATGTACCCAAGTTTGCACATTCCATTAAATATGCTTAAAAATGTGCTTATTAACAAGTATCTAACAAGTAAAAAATGATTTTTTTGCAAAATAACTTATATATATGTCAATTTAACATTCGAGATTGAAAAAGATATGTTTTTAATTTGAGTTAATCGGTAGACGAAAGGTGCAACTTGGGATATATAGGAGTTGGCTGATAATTTGGTCGATAGAGTGTCCACACAAAACTGGGATGATGACCATGTCCATGGCCTGAACTGCTGCCTCCACCAGCACTTGGCAGAACAGTGTAGCCAAGAGCGGCCAATTTGTTTAGAACACGTACCGGAGCATCTTCGACTTTGAAAACAACAGATTTTCCAGATGGATCAAAGTTAACTTTGGTGTCTTCGTTTACTGCAATGCGCTCCTATTAATAAAAAAA